AGCATAGATGGGTGGCTCACTGAGATCATATAACACAGGCTCTTCATACACAACAGTGGATAATTCTTGCCTCTCAAACGGGCTGCAAAGAGGTGGAACAGTGGATAATTCTTGCCTCTCAAACTGGCTGCAAAGAGGTGGAACAGTGGATAATTCTTGCCTCTCAAACTGGCTACTAGGAGGTGGAACAATGGATAAATCTTGCCTCTCAAACTGGCTGCAAGGAGGTGGACATGCTCTCACTAACAAATTTAAAACCTTACACTCCTCAACCTGCCGCTTTACTAGTTGCAACTCAGCATTACTCTCTACCATCTCTAATCCTTTCTCCCATAAATCTGGATTCTCAATGTGAAACAACAGATCATATTCACTAAATCCTTGGGTTTCCATCACTGCAATCATATTCATGTATGTCACATCTGAACTGCAGAGCTTCAGCTCAAACATTTCTGAAGCATCAAAATGGAACCTAACATCCAAAATGCCATCATACAAACTGCAAAATGAAATAACAGACAAAATTAGTTAATAAACAATTTTTCTTAACAGATAGGCTAACATATAAACAAAGCTTTGTTTAATTTAGCCTTGCAATATGAATAAACTAAACAATTACTACAAAATCAAACAATGTAAACAACTATCTCAATGCAACCATAATTACAGAGTGGGTACTTAACTCACAGCAAACTGATGTTTTGTATTTTCATATAAGTAGTTAACAGAATTGTCCACTAATGGTGCTCTGCTCTAGTTAGGACTCATTTAATCCACTATGCTTCTCTGCTCTACTCTGGCCTAATGGTGCTCTGCTCTAATGGTGCTCTGCTCTAGTTAGGACTAAGAAATAACAATGTAAGCCACTAATGATGCTCTGCTCTGCTCCAGTTAGGTAACACATAATGCTGCTATGACAATTTGGACTAACAAATAACAATGTAATCCACTATACTTCTCTGCTCTAGTTAGGACTAGCTATTAGAGTGCTAAACATGCAGGCAGTAGAAACCTAACCCTAATCCCCAATTTCAGTGAGCAAGAATGGAACAGTTGACCACTTACAGAACACCACCGAAGCCATGAGTCCAGTGATGGGCGGTGCTAGGGTTGGCCACCCAAATTCGCGCCAACTGCAGCCTCTGCTCCATCGACAATGCCGCTCCGCAAAATCTTCGTCCTCGCTACTGTACTCCGAGCTGGAGTAGCCGCCACTGCCATCGAGGCCTAAGCGGGGGAGGTCGCCGCCGCTCACATAGCCCCGGCCATCGCCGCCTGCCGGAGTCGCCGAGGC